CTGTTTATAATTTAAATTACTATCTAATTTGAATTATGTCATCCTACGTTTTAGTATCTGCTAACTATAAAACATTACACGTTATATTAAAATAAATATTGTCAATATATTTGAAAATATAAAGGTAAGAATTTGCCATTCCAAATTAAACGAATTTATTACAAACAGGTTTGATATTTGATTTAAGTACCTTTCTTCCCTCCTGCTTCTGTAATGAAGTCTGATTTTAAAACGAACATAAGTTTATTTTAAAGAAAATCAAGTACTATACAAGTGCCTTGCAACTACAAAAATATATCTTGACATTCGTTAAACGAATTTAATTCGGATAATTAATATTTCCTTTGAAATTCTTTGGGCGACTTTTTGACGTTCCTTGAATGAATTTAATTTCAGCAATAATTATTTTATAAAACTTGCTTCGTAATTTTTTAAAAGAATTCTTCTCGACGTGTTTTTGAATAAATTTAATTCCAACAATAATTATTTTATACAACTTCCCTTGTTCTTTTCTGAAAGAACCTTTGTTGAATGAATGTTTCTTGAATGAAATTAATTTGAATAATAATTATTTTAAGTGTCTTTCTGTGTACCTTTTTAAAGAAATCTTTTTGAAGCTTTTAAAATGAATTTAATTCGAATAATAATTGCTTTGTGCTTCTTTCCCTGCAATGTTTTTTGAAGATACCTTTTTAAAATTCCTGCCATAAATTTAATTCAAGAAATAAATATTGAATATAATCTCCTTTAAATATCTTTAACGTAACCTTCTTGATATTCTTTAAACAAATTTAATTGTATATATCTGTATATATAATATACAATATTAATATAATATATTTGTATATAAACCTACTATAAAATTCTTTCAGAAATGCTTACATCTATAATTTCCCTAATTTTATAAATTACAATAAATAAACAAATTTGCAAATAATTCGAAAATAAATTTGAAGAAAATCAACTTCCTACCCTACATTAATAACAGACGAAAAACTAAATTTACTTTGAATATCGAACAATTAAAAGAAATAATTAACTTAAAATATCTAACTTGAAAAACACTGAAGCTAGTAAAAACGCGCATCTTATATTTTTCATTTAACATTCATCTGCAGAAACCCAACTCCCATCCATCCATATCATCCTTTCATCCCTTCACGAGCCACCAAAAACCAAAATCTCGCAAAAATCGCCGAAAAATGCTCCCTCGCGTAACGCCGCGTCGAGCGCGCATCGAACAGCGAGAAAAGCGCGCGCATCTGTTTAATTAGCGAAATAAATAGCTGCGAGCGATAATACATTACCCGCGAAATTCGCATGGCTTCGAGCCAAGGTAGCTAGCAACATTTCGTCGCGATGTTGCGTGCGAATAAATTAACAAAAAGGGAAACGTTTAATACCGGGAAGACCGACGCGGTCACGTTTGACCGCTGAATAATTACGCGGTCCCTGCTAATTCGGCCCTACGCGCGTTCGAGCTGGGATGGAAGAGGGAGAGGTAAAAGATATAAAACAAATTTCCCCTGAAAATTTTATCTCGCGTTAACCAGCAAAAAATTCGGTGTAGCCGGAGGAACGTGCATGGGGAGACGACGTCTGGTTCTTGTGCAGCTGAAGAGTTCTAGCAGCTCGGGTAGTACAAATAAACATTAAGCTATGAAAGAAAATTGTGGGATTAAGCTAGCTACTTATCGCGGAGAAAAAAATAAAAGCTACCAGAAGATTCTTCTCATTGTGTAATAATCGTCTAGGCTACTTCGGATTTGTGATAACACGATTTCTCTGTATATTTGAACAGTATTTGTGAAATTTCTTTCAGTGATAATTGTTGCGATAAACGAAGATGATATGGTATGATGATGGTGATGACGCGTGATTAGTATGGATACTGAAAAAAGTATTATAGGTGAAACTAAAGGTGAAATTTCTGTGCAAAATCTGAGCAAATCTAATCTAACTTCCGAACAATCTTCATCGTCTAATTACTCGTGTCTTATAAATTATATTTTTGAAAGCGTGAATAAGTGTGAGTTTCTTTTACATCCATAACCTAACCTCTTATAAGATTAAGTCAGCTTACAAGTATACGTAAAATCCAAAACCAAAAAAGCAAATGAGAAATGGAAATTAATATGTATTGCATAATATGTAACAAACATAACAAAGCGTTAAAAGGTAAAGGATATTTCTAAAATATCATGTTTGCGTATTAACACTTTGCACTCGAGAGGTGACCTTCAGTCACCATTCCATAAAATTTTGAAGATCGATATTAATTAATATATCAAATTTAATGTAATGTAACAGTTTGCGAATTATCGAAGTCAAATAATTCTACAACTCTGTTATTACACAATTCTTTATTTACTGCTCAAAAAAGTATTGTCAGTTTTTTAATAGAGAATCTTTGATTTTCTACTCTTCTCTAGCCAAAAAATCGTCGAGTGCAAAGGGTTAAAAAATTGTATCACTTTATTGGGGTTCATGTCACAAATTATTTTAACACGCAGACTGGTTAATGAGCTTTAATCCTCTTGCGAGATTATCATGTATGCATTATTAAATACTGTTCAGTAACAACTAACTGGTTCAAACTTTCATGCTTGAAGTTTCAGATAAATTAAACGAATATTTTCATTGTAAATACATGATCCTAATAAAACACGTATATACACCTCTGAGTTTGGGACCCTTGACGGTTTCGAAACTCGGTAGGTCTATTTAAATATAATATGACAAAAGGTGAATTAATAATTATGCATTAATTCCTAAAATTTCCTGATTTAATCCCCTTTAAAGAAATCGGGGTGGATTGAATACCAATTAAATTTTGAGCAAAGATTTGAAAAAAATTATATACGGAACATATAAAAATCTGATAACAGGAATTCCATCGTTGTCTGAAGCAGTCATGAAGACATATTTCTAATGTAAATAAAGAAGAAGACTCTCTGTTAGTCCACTGAATATACAAATTCCACATAGTCTAAGGATATAGTTAAAGATCCCAACGATTTTAAATTAACCTCATTTTTCCGAAGACAGGATATGGCACTATTTATAAAGCTATATAGAAATAGAAAACTCTAGATAATCATCTATGAAACAAGGAATAATTCAAAACCAATTATCCATTAACTCCGAGGAATCTGTACCCATTTTAAATTAACCTCATTTTTCCGAAGACAGGATATGGCACTATTTATAAAGCTATATAGAAATACAAAACTCTAGATAATCATCTATGAAACAAGGAACAATTCAAAACCAATTATCCATTAACTCCGAGGAATCTGTACCCAATACAGAACTCGAAATCTCGATGTCAACAAAAATAAAGCATAACTACAAGTATTCATAACCTTTCCAACCCCATCAACACCCTTCAACAAAAATTTCACGATACAAAACTGGTCGCTGGACCGAAACTATCCCAAATCCCAAAGTAATCAGCAAACAGAATCTCAGATCTTGTTAATCTGGGGAATCCCCGCTAGAGCCGAAAATCAAAAGCCAAGTGGACAATAATCGCCACATATTAATAGCCGAAATCGCAGATCACAGGTTAGCGGAACTATCCAGCCGGGACAGACCGCGGGATTCCGGAACTTACGAAATTCCCGTGACCGCAGCCGCCAAGAATGCCCTTTGCACCCCCGCGGAGGCCCGAAAGCGCGCTGCAAACTACCCCAACATCGATCACCGAAATCACGACGTGGTCCCTCGCGTCATCCTCAACGTTGGCCGCTGTCCCCACCTTGGCGAATCGACGACTCGACTCGAATGATCGAGGCAGAAGTGGGAGTGGGGATAGGGTGGTTTGACATGGTTCGAGAAGGTTGTTGACCAGCATGACAGGAGGCGCGTATGCAAAGACAAGGCGCGTGCTGTCACGGGCGCAACGAGCGTTCTACGAGCTCGTACGGGCTGGTTTACAAGTCAGGCTGAGCGGCGGCAGTAGCAGCCGGCCCCTTGTCGCGGGAATCGATAGTCTGCGTGCACGAAACGCCGATAAGCGCTCGCGGTACGCCCAACGACATTGCCATCGCGATTGCTTCTGTCGATCGTCCATGTTGAACCGACGGTAGAGAGAAAGAAGAGAAAAGGGAAGAAGAAACGGCGACGGGGGAGGGAAGAGGTTAGGCGAAGAGACAAGGAGGGACTAACCTGTCGAAGGAACGAAATCGAACCAACAACCGACGCGGTGGGCGAACGAGGGCGGCCAGGCGGCGGCGATCGAGCGAGAAAGCGAGAAACTGCTGAATCCGATAAATCAATGAACGAAAATACTTGGCAGAAGAGTGGAAGAAGGATACGACGCCGTTGGCGAGGAAAGTTAGGGGTATGACGGGGCGAGTGCATCGAACCAGCGCTTTGCGCGAAGATTGATAAGGGTAGGACCGATTAAGACCGAGAGAATGATCGACTCGCGGAATTCCGCTCCCTTTCTACCCCTCTTTACTCTGGCTGCCTTAGAGGCCAGTCTTAAAGGCGCCGTTTCCAACCAGTTCTCTCGCTCGACCGAGCGAAAAAGCAACGAAAAGAGAGGCGATATTAAAAATAGTCTGTCCCTGATCGAAGAGTCCTGCTACCTAGTTTTTCAGCCCGTTTACTAGAGGAGTACCCGGTGTGTACCCGCGCGAGAATGGGACACGATGGTACACGAAGTAACACGAGGGAATCCTCGTTGGATTCGTGTGTCTCTCGAGTGCCACGTCGCGATAGAAGCAGGCGAAATCAAAGAGAATGAGAACGCGGCGAGAACACCTACTCGAAACGCTGGTACGCCTGGCTGGTAGCTAGACCCCTCGAGAAACTGTCGGTCGCGATCGCTTGGCGATGTAATCGGTCGACAAAACACGGGAATATAATTAGTCCTCGCGGCGAGCGTCCGCTCCGCTGAGCTCTTGCTGGCCGGAGAGTCCCTCGAGGCGAGGATCCACTTAGGATAACTCCGGCAGCGATCCAGCCAGAAGGGTGAAGGGAAATCTACTTACCCTCGGTCGCGCTCTCTTCATGTCTCGGGACTACTTCACGGCATCTCAACGACACTATTCCGTTTCCGTATCCTCCATGTCGATGCTGGCTCTGACGATGGCGCTGGTCGAGATACACCGCTGACTGGCACAATGGACACTAGCTCTTCCGCTTCGACGACGTACTCGACGAAGCCGGGTCTCCAGTCGGGGTCCTCTTCTAGCGCTTTCTCTCCCCTTCGAACTCCTCTGTCACCGATACTATACTACCGCATACGCGTCTCACCACCGAGTGTCGTTCCGTTATCGCGTCTTGCGTAGAAACTCGGTTACCGGTTGATTCTCACCGTGCCACCACCCGACACGAGCGAAAGGTCATCGTTACTCGTTCGTGACGCGACTTGTCCCGTGACGATTTCAGGACGAAAGCTCGGGTTATCTCGACTCGTGCGCGGACTGAACTGACCTCGAACCAAACCGCCGTGTCTGTCTTCCGACGGTGACTGCGAGACAGGATGGGGTGGGGGTAGCGGCACCGAAGTGGGGAGAGACGAGTGGCGCGCGCAGAGGCTCGAGTGCGTATGCGTTGGGGTAGCCTGTACGACCACGACCACCGTCACGACGACTACTGAGATGAGAACGATGACGAGAACGTGCACGCTGGGCTTGAAAGGGGACGTGGTTTTTCGGGTTACGCGAGAGCACCGATTTTTTGGGAGCTTGCGTTCCTGATTGTCTCTTTGTTTCTGCCTTTCTCGCTGTACAGGTGGGCGTGTGTACGTGCACAGGGGTGTCCTGGAGGGAGAAACGATGCGGGCTGTGGTGGGCCGTTCGTTCGGTCTACGCGAGATCTTTTCCAGCCGTGGGGCCACGCGAATCTGCTTCTGGCCAAGTTGCTCGTCTGCCCAGCTTCCTACTGCAGCGATGCAGATACATAGATTGTTCGTGTACGTAGATACGTGAGGATGGTTTGTTTGTTACGAGGAAATTAGGGGTGCGTGGGTTTCAACGGTTGCAAGGGATGCTTCGGTTTTAGAAACGGGGCGGTTGTTGCGTTGAGGAACGCGAGCTTCTTTGTTACGGATTTCACTCTTTCAGGCCAGTCTCTTTCGAGTTCGTTTCAACCGAGTTCTGTGCTAGTTCCTCTGGACGTTGGGATTTTTAATGACAGGAATGGGGTTGATTTTATTCGCGTTTTGTTCTAAATTGTTGCTGCCTCATTGGACTCCGTGTTTAATTGGAATTAATTATACAGGGTGAATCAGGAGAAACAGGACTTCTAAATATATCCATCATTTATTGCTGCATAGAAAAATTTTTTTAAATAAAATTTCATTATTTTGGGCAGTGTGTATATGTAACTATAGGAAATAAATTTTTCGAGGTCAGTTTTCTGCGTGATTTCTAGGTCTATGTTACTGATGATCGTTATTAGGTTAACTAAAAGTCTCTTAATTGCTGAAACGTAGTAATTAATGTTTTTTATAATTGGATATCAGTTGGATGGAATTTATTAATTTTTATTTATCAATTAATTTTACTAAACTTTAGAAAAATGCAATTTAAAGTATATTAATATTCGATATTTCTTATTCTGTTTTCGACACTGTTTTTAGAAATGAGAATATTTAGGGTACTTAAATATTTCATACGTTTAGAAAGCCTTTTGACTTAAATACCTTTACGTAGTGGGACATTGAAAGTTAGGAAATTACTACTAAGTATTTCAAGGTAGTTCGCAGTAGGAAAATTACGCGGTTACAAATGTTCCCATAAGTAAAATCGATCTTCCGTGAACTTATGGAGTCGCTAGTGGGTAAAGGAAGAACAAACAAGCGTTTAGTTGATCCATTTACGAAACAAAGGATTTCAGTATTTTAATTGCGTCCTTTGTAGCGTTATCATGCCATCTGCCTACCCCAGAAAGCGGATAATAGTATTGCCTTCCGGAATTAAAAAATGCAACAACAAAAAAGGAACAAATTCTGTTATTTGCTTGAAATCTCACGTAACGCTACATCACTTTGTGTTCATCGCTTTATTCTACGGAACAATATATCGTGTCATTCACAAAAGAATAATAAAATTGACAATAATTGTTAGTTCTGGGAATATTCATAACCATTTCTTACGTATTCCATTGCCAGATAATAAAGTATCAGGAAATAGGAATACGACATATATATACATGCTCAAATTTGCAGTAGCTAATTACACTGTCCAACAAATTTTAACTTTTTCTCTAATTTGTATAATATCCACTGAGTGATTCTTATAGAGTTTATTTTTCTGAATATGAATTCGTAATGGAAATTGCACTATTATCATCAGTTCCCGAAAAATATTGGTTTTCCTAAAAAGGCGCGATTTTTTAATAAAATGAAGTATTACATGAAAAGTAAGAACGTTAGGAGATTTATTGTTGTCCTACAAGTTAAATGAGAGTATCCCGAGTTTATCAGTGTCCGTTATTATAATTGTTTGTGCTTCTGAATAACTATAATTAGTTATCAAAGTTTAAAAATAAACTTCCAAGCGTACTTTCTACGCGTGTTCTTGCATTTTTACAGAAAGTTCTTCATCTCACACGAAGTTGCTACACAGTAGCGTATTCTGCAGACTTTTCTGAAGAAGAAACCATCCAGGAATAATATTAGAATGATGTTCAATATGAACAGGACAGTAAAATATAAATGGAGGACCCGTAAGTGGGATTTTGCCGCCATGCGGCCATTGCTCGTATAGCGCGTTCAAAGAAAGAAGGCACAGCGTGTTTGCATCCTCACGGCTGACGAAGATCATCGATCACCGTTTTCGGTCAATAACGGTCTCTGCCAGTGATCAAGGGAGTGTCAGCAGAATTAATCAGCCATGAGGATGTAAACACGTTGTGCCTCCTTTCCTCGAACGCACAGTCCATCTAGCTTTGTCAGGGCCGTGGTCAGGCGTAATTGACACCAAAATTGTAGATCTCATTTTTTACGTATATCACATATATATGTTCTCGTGTACTCTTTTGTACTAATCATAAAATTATAAGAAATTTGTTTGAGTCACTTGCCTTTTGAAACAGGCTCGTTATTCGACACATAAATACGAATGACTTTTTAATATACAGTAATTAAAAAATAAACTCCCACCCAACTTTTAAGATGAGAACGAATCTTCCAACGTTTTTACTTTCCGTATAATACTTCAGTTTAACCAAAAATATAGAGGAAATAAAAGTATTTTGATATACATATATGTATCGCAGAAATTTATCCTATGGAGGTACAAATGCAGTTTTACTTTATGAAATATGTATAAATTATCAAATTTATTATTAATAAGAAATTGCTTAGAACGTAAATTTAGAATAAAAGTGAAAAAATTAATAAATTACCGGTTATTACTGGAACATAAAACGAATACTTGTTTTAAAATATACCTTCAATTTGCAAAAAGTTTATAAATTAATACACTGATTGTTTATAACAAATTAATATTGTTACTACCAAATTGCTCACAACATGTATTTATAATAACAGTGAAAAAATTAATAAATTATTGCACATTAGTGCGAAAGAATAATAATTAATGGAATCGGTAAAGTACGAAAATTTTCGATCGGAGTGGGGGGTTTTGGCCGATCGGCGGCTATATAAAGGGCGACGCGACGAAGCAGAACTCATTTGTCGTTTTGACTTCGGAAGTGTAATATCTAAATTTTCTTGTGCGCGAAGGGGTGGGAGGTCGAAGTGAGGTTGGAATTGGCTACCCCATCCTCACTCCACCCCATTAATCAATTTACTAATAATTTTTGTTTTGTTTTCAGATATTAATTATTTTTTTCTTCCGGTTTTTATTATTTTTTATTTTTTCAGCTTCTAATTATTTTTTTTCCTTTACAGATTTCATTTTTTCATTTCTAATTATATTCATTTGACAATTCGAATATTTTGCATAATATTCGAATGTCTCGTCGATGTTTTGTCTATGTCTCATCTTTGGGACGTTTATATCTCATCGTTGGGTTTTGTTAGGTTTTCTTTCTGGTACTAATTATATTTTTTTTTCAGGTTTTAATTCCTTTTTTTCTTTTCAGATATTATTTTTTCGTTCCTATTTACCTTAATTTGAACATTCGAATATTTCGTGCAATATTCGAATGTTTCGTCGTTGGTTTACTTATGTCTCATCGTTGAGTTGCTCCTTCCGCTTTCATTTCATTTCCTCTTAATAATCCGTTTCATTTCAGGATTATATATTTCTTCTCAGGCTTTAATTATTTTTTTCTTTTCATATGTTGTTTTTTCGTTTCTATTTTCTCTTATTGAGAATTCGAATATTTTGTTAATATTCGGATGTTTCGTCGTTGGGTTGTTCTTTACATTTGGTTTACCTTCATGGTTTCTATTCGTTTGTTTCCTTTCCTCGTACTAATCCGTTTTCATTTCAGGTTTATATTAACAATAATATATTCTGCTTTAGCTTTTAGGTTTCTCTGGATTCTCAAGTTTCCTCAAGACTTCATTTGAGACACATCACTGGACGACGTGGCATGCGTGCGTTTACTTTTAAGTAGTCATAAGATAGATCACTAGACTAAGTCTCATGTGCGCGCTATCTGTACAAAGGTAAGCTACCTAACTTGGGGCGAATATATAAATTTCATATTTTTCTAGCTTCATCCCTCTCGTTTACCAAATAGAACGTAATTGTTCTCGCGATAATCGCGATAATTCTTAAGTACCAACTAGCCTACGCGACGTACTCTCGTGTACTCGGCAACTTCGTGTCTCATAAGTCATCCTCACGATTCGTCTCCGACACTCATTTCCAGACACTGCCAATCTCGTCAAGCATCGAGTTCCAGGGTGGCCCTTTGGTCACTGTTTCTTCTGGACTTGATGCGGGGGTCCAGCTGCCCCGGTTGTACGCGATTGGGGTTCGGGTACGCAGTTGGACGGACAAAGTGTCTACGGTTAGACCACAGGGATGATTAAGTTCTACCCCGTGTAGCTGGGATGCGAAGTGTCTGTCTGACTGCAATGCCCCGCCGGACCCTCGTATCGACTCTGGGGTTTCATTGGTTTGGGGACTAGCCTTGGTCCACGTGTAAGTCTTGACGAGAACGACAGTGGTTGGACTTGGGCTAGGCCCGATCGAGAGGGTGCCGAGGCATGAAGTTATCTCTGTACACGAGCGTACATCGCCTAGGCTAGTCGGTCTTTCGAATAATCGCGAATTCGATCGGGCGCGTCGCGATTTTAACTTGGTTTTCCTTTGCTCGCGTTTTTCATATTTGATTCCCGAATTTTGTGGGAACTTGGAAATATTAGAGTCTGTTAGCATTGCGACAGTAGAGTAATAAATTTAAGTATACCGAATCGAAGTCCCTTCGATAAGACACGATATTTCATAAAGTGTCAGTAAAGTCACTTTAACTTAATTCGCTCCAAG